GCAAAGGCTCCGAGTCGCTAAGAGTTTGAGTCTTGCAAAGGCAAGCTCCGGGTTAGCCCTCGTGACCAGCTAAGAGTTTCAATTCCTGCTAAGGCAGACTCTAAGTGTCCCTGTTCTTGACACCTGATGAAGATCACTTGCGTTGTGATCGAAACGTCGTTATTGTTTTTTGTTTTAATATAATTTTATTGTATTTCTACATACGTGACTTTACCGAAAAAACCAATGAGTAATTTTATGCTGTTCATCCCTCCACCCCCCCCCCCCCCCCCCTCTCTCTTGTATGTCTTTCCTCCCTCCTTACCTCTTGGTGGACTTGTATATGAACACGAAATTTAACACTTCTGAAATTCGTGGTCCGCCAGGAAGTGTCTGTTGTTGGCCTGACTGGATGTGCTTCACATGTTTTTTCAGGTTTGTTGAATTCTCGTGTCTTATCTTTTTGTCGTATTTACCTCTGTGATTTGTTCTTGACACCTGATGAAGATCACTTGCGTTGTGATCGAAACGTCGTGATTGTTTTTTTAAATATAATTTTATTGTATTTCTACATACGTGACTTTACCGAAAAAAACCAATGAGTAATTTTATGCAGTCACGAAAGCTTTAATACTTTATTATCTCACTTCTACGGGGAATTTACCGTTGTAATTGTGTAAGATGTGCCCTTTTATGAGCTGCCGTTTTGTATTTACAAGAGGTGGTCATTTTTTGAGCTGCCGTTTTGTATTTACAAGAGGTGGTCCTTTTTTGAGCTGCCGTTTTGTATGTGTAAGATGTGCGTGTTTGAGCTGCCGCTCTCGCTCTGGCCCCTCCCCCCCTCCAACCGTATTTCCTATTTAAGCTTCTGTTCATCCCTCCCCCCCGCCCCTCTCTGCCTCCCTGTCCGTCTTTCCTCCCTCCTTACCTCTTGGTGGACTTGTATATGTATTTCTACTGACCGTGTACCTCATATTTTCATTCTATCTATGCTGGTATGTGCAATCCAAAGGTTGAACACGAAATTTAACACTCTTCTGAAATTCGTGGTCCGCCAGGAAGTGTCTGTGTTGTTGGCCTGACTGGATGTGCTTCACATGTTTTTTCAGGTTTGTTGAATTCTCGTGTCTTATCTTTTTGTTGTATCTACCTCCGTTATTTGTTCTTGACACCTAATGAAGATCGCTTGCGTTGTGATCGAAACGTCGTGATTGTTTTTTGTTTTAACATAATTTTATTGTATTTCTACATACGTGACTTGACCGAAAAAACCAATGAGTAATTTTATGCAGTCACGAAAGCTTTAATACTTTATTAAGCTAAGAGGTGTCAAGGAATTGTTGGCAAAACGTCCATGAGTTACACATGTGTAGTGGCATAGTGCTGGCTGCTGGCAAAAAAGTGTAACTGCGGTATACTGCAGTATTGAAGTCAGCAGACCAGGATAGACACGAGAGGGGGACATCTAGGGGAAAGGTCACAGAGAAGGGCCATCGGGAAGCCCCGCTGGTAGGTTTCAGAGAGGGGGCGTGGCCGGGACGGAACGAGGCCATACTGAGAGTATGAGGGGCCCCTGTGAGGGACCTCGTGGCTGTTGTTCGAGTGGGATCCCCGTCGTGTTGTTCAAGATCGTCGCCATCGTCGCTGTCGTCTTCACTCGATATTGCTCTGTTAGATAGTTGTTGGCTGTCTCGGTTCAGCGCCGTCAGTGTTAGACGGTTAGTGTTATGTATAGGCTAGCAACAGTAATACTGTGTACCCACGTAGAGGTGTGTATAGGCAACCGACTGTAGAGTGTGTACCACATAGTGTATTATACCGACGGTGCTCGTTAAATAAGAGGTGCCTCCAAGTCTTATCGTCTCTGAGTTAAGACACTACACATGTATGAGGTGTGAAGAGGCTGAGAGTTGGTCGGCATTGTCACGTGCAGGCTGCCTCCTGCCACTGACCTCCGAGCGTGAGCAACAGGTACTTGCACACCAGGCCACTCCCAAAGCTGCTGGTGACCAACTCCCAGTGTACTGAGTCAAGTGTTGCGACGTGCAACCAAGTTGCAGATAGAGCCTGGTGCACAGACAACCTGCGAACGTGTGGCAGAGTAGCTGACAACTCAGTGGCAGGGTGCTGGTTTGAGAGTCGTGAGCGCACTCCAGCTGTGGACCAAGCCTGACGGGCGGACAATCCTGGACAATCAGCGAGCAGCAAACGAGATCAGCAGGGGTCAACGTCTCGGGTTGTCTGTCTCCATCGAGTCCCTTCCACCCCTCCTTCCCACCCGGTAAGTCTGTACTATTCATTCCATCATGGCGGGTTGTAGGTTAGGGAATTCAATGTTTCTTCGAGCTGTGGGTAGATGATTTTTAATATTGGAGAAAGCCCCTCGGGAAGAATGGCCCACAACTCCCTCCAGGAGGCCACAGGCTTGCAGTTGACTCCCACCCCTTAGCGTCCAGCTGGTTGTATGCCTCTTCAGGTTCGAGTAGCCTAGCTTCGTGAATCTTGACTAAGTCACCTTGTTGCTCTGGAGTAGTTTGGAGTCATCATGACTGCTTCCTGTTTTTATACCCTCTCGCTGATCCCGCTCAGCTTCTCATTGTGGACCGGAAGTAGGGCAATGTTTTTTCCTTCGTCTGACGAGTGAACTAATATATTTTTTCCAGGACAGTTGAGTAACTGCCCGTGTTCCTCACTGTAACCGGAGAGGCCAGCGGGGACGAGGCCTTAGACTTTTGCCAGGGACTTGTCCCCCTTATGCATGAGGCAATGCGGAATATTTCCCCCTCGACTGACAAGGCTCGGGTTACATGCAGAATGCCTTAGGTCCCAACAATGCGTAAACGAGTTAATGGGAGGAAATTTTTTACAAAAAACAATTTAAAAAACTCCCTCTGGGTTCCTGGCGTTAAAAATGACAAATGGGTCATTTATGAAAAATAAGAAAAGTAGGGTAACAGGTATACTAGCTTGGACAGGTATATTCAGTGCTGCTCACTCGGCCATGACATCACCGGAAGACCAAAAGGAGATGTATTTAAACTCATATATTTTTTAAAAGAAGTTTGATGCGTTAAGGGTATGGAACAGGGGGACAGGTAGGAGTTATAGAGCCCGGAAGCGGCTGTTGTTTCCAACCAACGCCGCTCACCCATTTAATTATGGCTCTAACACCTGTGATTGGAAGCCACCAAATTTGACCAGTTTAATGCTAAAATAATCCATTAGGTTGAGGTGAGAAGACATCGCTTCCATAGCTTGAGCGCCATCAAGGCCGTTAGATCCCAGCTTTTTGAACTTTAAATTAAATTACAATTATATTACATTACATACTATATTTCAGGATATAAAATCCTTTCCCAATATATTTTAAACACGTTTATTTATTTAGTTTGCAATACGTTTTTTTTCATAATCCCAGTAAACAAGCCGTTGGACCAACGTTGTTCCAACCCGGACCTCCCCCCCCCCACCCCGAGACACCTGAACCCTTCCGGAAACACCATAGCCCAGAATACAGCGGAACCCGGTGAATATGTATACTCAGTTTAATAGGTAATTTTGTATGTGTAGTGGCATAGCGCTGGCTGCTGGCGAGAAATGGTAACTGCGGTGTATGGCAGTATCCACGTCAGCAGGCCACGATAGAAACGAGAGGGGGCCATCTAGGGGAAAGGTCACAAAGGCGGGCCCATCAAGAAACTTTGGAAAACATTAGGTTCCAGAGAGGGAGCATGGACGGGGTGGAGCGAGGTCACGCTGAGAGTATACGAAGGGCCCCTGTGAGGGACCTCGTGGCTGTTGCTGGAAGTGGGATCCCCGTCATGCTGTTCAAGATAGCCGTCGTTAGCGTCTTGTCACCATCGTCGCTGCAGTCTTCACTCGATATTTCGCTGCTAGATAGTTGTTGACCGTCTCTGTTAGACGGTTAGTATTTTGTATAGGCTAGCACCAGTAATATTGTGTACCCACGTATGGCATGTATTGTCCCGATAGTGCTCGTTAAATAAAAGTGCCTCCAAGTCTGTCTCTGAGTTAGTCACTACATGTATGACGAGCACAAATCCACCACTGGATGAGGGCCTCTCCACACGCCATACAAACCACTACCAGTACTGCCACCCACTCCAGAAGCTTAGCTTTGCTCACGAAACCCACCATTACAAACGAGTCTTAAAAAGTAGTTTAATAGAGTGATATTATACAGAGGAGAAAAAGCAGTTAATCCACTGCCTTTATTGAAGGCCTCCCCATGCAATGTCTGGGTATATTTCAACACATTTCTTCATAAGAGCTTCAACAGGTTGGCGAAAGAGGAGACCCCATAACTGGTTAAGATATAATTCACCACTCATTAGCTGTGGCCGGGAATCAAACTCGTGAAGCTAGGTTCATAGCGCAGTGTGGTAACAATTGTGCCCCTGCCGTACCACAATCCATAAACCCAATTCTGTACATTTTCAAAACAAATAACGTCAACGATACAAACGATGTCACTGTCACCCTCTTGAGGGTTTCACACCACTCACTGATGGCAATCTATCGTTATTGCATGATGTTATCTTTCTCGCCTGGTATACAGGTCATCGGTTCAATCCCGACCCTGACATGTGTATATTTGGAGTTGTTTTCCCTGTAGTCACGTGAATTTTTTAACAGGGTCCTCTTGATTTTTCCCTCTACATTTAGAAACATGCATTTAGATTATGTAGCTGCTTTAAATTTCGATATAAGGCACTTTCGTTGGGCTCTCATTTGTGGCCTGCTCATGTCTGAAAAATAACTAATAGCTCAGTGGGCTTTACCTGGTAAAATAAAAATGGTTTATATTCTTAGTTCTTTCGGTAAAGTCACGTTGAAGGGAAAAAACAAAATAATAAAATATATATAAAACAATAAAAATTCTCACGACGTTTCGACCATAACACAAACGGTCGTCTTCAGGTGTGTGACTTTACCGAAAGAACTAAGAATATGAATTACTGCAGTCACGAAAGCTTTAAATCAAAAAATGGTTTAGTTTATTTTAGTGATTTTCTTACCTTTCATATACTTTGCACTCATATAGGTGTTTTTGTTGTTGTAAAATTTTGTGACCTGCCCCGGATTTCTCCAGGATAAATATTCTGATTGCTATGGCACTGACAGCCTACCTGTCTGTAGTGCGACAGGGCTGTCAGTAGATAATGAGCAAGGCCAGTTGTTTGTCAGGTTATTTAGGATGCTACTTGACTCTGCATTGTCATTTTTCATTTCCTGATGTGACAAGCTGTTTTGCAATGGGATAAGTTGACGCGACATATTTCACACACTTGTATGAACAATTAACTATTTTGTTGACTTAATTTCTTAAAATTTCCGTTATTCACTGCATAGCTTGCATGGCTGATTTAAGTAAATCAAAAAGAGATTGTTTGCATAATGGTAATATTTTACCACATAAAACGTATTATCACTGCCATTTGTATTAATATTACTTAACTAAAATAGCAATTAAATCTTAATTGTATGTGCTCCTTGCTCCTGGGTCCCTCGAGTGATAGACAGGAAAGGGTGCCAGACATGTTGGTTTCCCTTTGTGTTAGTTTTGGCGAAGAGGACGTGAGCGAAAAGATAATGGGGTCAGGAATACAATTTTAGTACATGGGTTTGTAGCGGGACGGCACGTCACTGTGGCGTGTTCTCCACTGAGTTTCCAGTTGTGCTGACCATGAATGAGTTCGCCCCTTGCCTCTCCATGACCTTGAAGAAGTTGCGGCCACGTTGAGGCACCATGGTGAGTAATCCAGGCAGGGGAGCAGCTGCCAAGCCTGTGATGAAAGAGCCACATTTCATATTCATCAACTAAAACTGCTATTTCACTATTAGCATTGCTTCACGTCTCACTGAATATTTCCTGAATTGCTGGGAGAATGGAGTAGGTGGAACGGATGAGTAACCACCACCATGGCGATGTGTAAATGGTACGGAAATGTTTTGGGTTGCTAACCATTATATTTCTGGGGGAAATTGGCATTAAAGCAAATTGTCTCAAACATAAAAAGGAACATTATATTGTCTTGAAAAGGCTCAATGAGTATCATGAGTATTCATATTCTTAGCTCTTTCGGTAAAGTCCTGTATGGGAATGTTTGTTAAGTTCTAATTAAATACAATGTTTTGCTACAGGAGGCAAACTGAACATACCTGAAAAGACATTCAGGTATTAACTAAAAGATCCACACAGGCTGCGCTCAAAACCTGTTTGCTGTACTGCTACCCACTGGACATTTCGCAGGTCATCAAGTTATGCAGCTTCACGCAACAATATATATTTTAATTTAAAGCTTTCGTGACTGCAGGGATTCATATTACACCATCGGAAACCTCATTTGCCAGTAACAAAATATGATCATTGGTTTTTTACCCTTTTATCTGGCAACAAAACTGACACCTTTTTTACAAGGAGCCATGTTTACATTGACCACAATACCTGCGGTCGGAACGCAAACAAAAAACAACTGATAATGTATGCACTGTCCTTGAAATTGATTGGTCCACACCCGAGACAGCTTTCTTTAGAGCCTCGTCTCACATGGTGTTGGACCAGAAGACGCCAAAAGGCGCACAACTCAAAGACAATGCACTGGCAAAAAAACAATTATATTTTGTTACTGGCAAATGAGGTTTCCAATGGTGTAAATGCTTACCCGAGCTCTCATACTCTGCATTGTCTTTGAGTTGTGCGCCTTTTGGCATCTTCTGGTCCAACACCATGTGAGACGAGGCTCTAAAGAAAGCTGTCTCGGGTGTGGACCAATCAATTTCAAGGACAGTGCATACATTATCAGAGTTGTTTTTTGTTTGTGTTCCGACCGCAGGTATTGTGGTCAATGTAAACATGGCTCCTTGTAAAAAAGGTGTCATTTTGTTGCCAGATAAAAGGGTAAAAAAAACAATTATCAGGGATTCATATTCTTGGTTCTTTCGGTAAAGTCACGTAGAAGGGAAACAATAATTGTTTTATATTTTTATTATTTTATTGTTTCCCATCTACGTGACTTTACCGAAAGAACCAAGAATATAACAATATATATGTTTCAGCATGTAATATTTTTTTATAAAGACATCTGTTATTAAGCCTGTTCTGTTCGGAGGCAGTGTTAAAGATGAGCTTGGCCAGATTATTTGAATTGTGCTTGGGAACCATTGCCTATGCAGATTTGTTTGCTGTAATTGTTAAGGTCCTATTGGCCGAGTGCTGCGTAATACCGAGAGGGGCCAGAGACTTGACAGCCTCGAGTACGTTCTTGCTCTCCAGTTTGACCTTCATGCGGAAGTGCTCAGTGTGCCCCTCCATCTGCGGCACTACCTTGTATCCACGGAAGCGCGTGTCCATCTGCAGAAGTAAACACATTGTTTGGCGATGCTGCACTGGCAGTGGTGCACAAGCACAATTAACAACAAAAACACAATGATCAAAAACAGCGTGATATTAAACGAAAAAAGATAATAGATGCCGCTGGCAATGGCCCTGCTATGCTATGAAGAAACATCACTGCCTGAAACATTGCCTATTTTGTAACCTGCCTTTTAAGGCAGTGTTATTCACGAATTATTGAATTTTTTTTGTTAAATATACATCTAAAGAAGGGTTATTCAGTGGCCAAAGTCATGTTCTGTTTCTGATAAATACACTGCAGTGCTTGCACAACTTCTGAAAAGGCTGCCTTTAAAGGCCCTGCAGAAAGGTCTATTCCCAAAATGTTAGCGTGGTGAATGTTTCCATTATATGGCAGTGGTAATGAGGTGACAAGTTATTTAAATCTGTCCTTGTTCCCCACTGCCAGTTAGAAAAATGACTAGCTTTACTACCCGGCTTCGCCTGAGACTTGGATTCTTGTCTTGGATTAATACACGGCCTACGCGGAGATGTGAAGGGAATGACGTGAGAGCTGAAAATTGTCGCGTTCCCTTAGAAATTCCAGACAGCATAAGCTGTGCAACTTTAATGACGTCAGAGCTCAGCGTTCGAGAGTTTTTGCTGCTTCACACAAACAGCTGTATTTTCTGCTTTATATTTAAGAGCGAGCTAAAAATAGTCGCGTTGACTTAGAAAATCGAGACAGCTATGCCACGCATTTGTGCGGGATACAAGGCCTACGCGGAGGGTTGGGGGGGGGGGTAACGTCTGCAGGCACACAGCGTAACGCTGCCGCATGCGGGTGACATCATAGATGACGTCACCACTCACTTGCCGTGCAAAATAAATCCATTATTGCGCCCCCCCCCCCCCCCCCCCCCCCCAAAATACAAAAGTCTATTGTTCGACTTTAAGCATTGTGTACAGTCTGGAAGCTACCCACATGCCAAATTTCATGTTTGTTGCATGTTGGGAAGTATGCTAAACATTTCGAACTGACACACATTCACAAATTTCCCTTATATATATTAAGGTTCAAAAAGTCAATGTCCAGGTCAATACAGCTAATACCACTGATATCACCCTTGACCATTATTCCTTTAAATCCTGCAGCTTTTGCAAGATCTGATTTTTCTGTCCCACCATTTGGCGTTAGGTCTTCTCCTTGGACGTTGGGCTTCTGTACGTCCACTCAGTACTTGATAGCAATATTTGCTAGAAACATTGCAAGTTAAATTTTCTCGTTTTAAAAAACGTGTACGATCTTCGTGGTGGAGCGCATCGCCGATACCGCGTAGGAGAGGCTTTCCAGCGTGGGCTGTGGGGCATCCCCGAAGGCCTGGCGCGTCAGGGCCATCGTCCGCTGCTTCTCCCTCAGGTTCTCGTCGCAAGTGCGAGGGTCCAGCGGCGCCACTGCCTCCCACCATCAGCACAACCAAGTCAGGTATAGCCAGGGCTACATTTCTAGGCACGTGACAAAAGTTATACCAAACGTGGTTTTGCTGGGCACATATATTTCAGGGTCACCAACTCAGGCAGGCAAGAATTTACATCAGGAGTGAGGAAACGTTTCCTTACCAAGGGCCGAATAGGACTTTCAAATACCTTTGGCCAGCATTATATTAGTTGACAGTAAACTTTGATCACACAACTGTAGGCATTGACTGCTCAGACCTTCTAATAATAATACCAGATTCAAGCGGCTAAGATGCTCACAGTGATAGATAGTTAGTGGACCAGTCTTGATTTGAAGCTTTCGTGACTGCAGGAATCCATACTCTCTGGTTCTTTCGGTAAAGTCATGTAGATAGAAAAATTAATAAAAGCAACACATTTCGGTTGCAACACAAGCATCCGTCATCACCTGATGACGGACGCTTGTGTTGCAACCGAAACAGTCGTGTTTATTTTTTTTTATATCTACGTGACTTTACTGAAAGAACCAGAGAGTATAGTTAGTCGACCGTTTTGAAATGGTAGGCCTCATGTGGCCACGGGCCACATGAAATTAGATCGTGGGCCATGTGCACCCCCTGGGCCATAGATTCCCCACCCCGGCATTAGAAAAACTAACCACACCATTGCATAATGTGGACAACTGCATTTACAAACACATGTTCTTAATTTGTATTGAAAAAATCCTGTTTGTAGAGTTTCACCTTTTTCTTGGACACTTGTCTCTTGTGCCAGCTTGTTGGGCCTGTAACCCTGAAAAATAAAATGGTGTTTTAAAAAAATTGCAATTCATTGAAAATATGGGCATTCTTAAATTTGACAGTGCCTCAAGTTCAGGCAGCCAAAAGTATTTAAACTCGGTCATTTTAATCAATACCTCGTTAGTCCTCCTGAGAATGATCTGTGCAAGAGATTCAAGGTTGTGGCCTTTCAGCGGCACCACTTGAGCTTCACTATAGTTCAACGTGGCTTGAAGTGCCTGGGACAAAAAAACATTGGTGAAATTTATAGTATGAAATTTATAGGTTAGGTTTTCATGTAATAATGGCTCACATTTAAAATAATGCTATGACATTGGTAAAGTGCACACATGACTTCTACTCGATCACAAGTACACTTCTGATCTCCATTGGTTTTTACCTGGTTATAAACATGTGTCAATACAGTCTGACATATTAGCTGGATTTTGGTGGATTATCGATACAATTTAAAAATATAAACAGAAGTAACACTATCCCCTTTAACGTTCACATCCTTTATAATTTACAGTATGATTTCCTACATTAAACGCATTGCAGTTTTCATTAACAATTTAAAAGTGTGCCAACAAGCTAATGAGCCTGCAATTGTTTTGTTTTATAATCCTTTCCAAAAATAATATTGAGGCATCAACTCATGATTGAGGCGTTTCAATTACATGTAAGCATCTATTAAAAGTCTGCAAATTTAGTGGTTACATTTTTGGTCAGATTTATTCAATAATGTCCAGTTACTCTTTGGTTCTATTCGGTAAAGTCATGTAGGCAAAAAATAAAACAAAAATCATGACGTTTCGGCCACAACACAAGCGGCCTTCATCAGGTGAAGGGACCAGACTGGCTCGAGGACAGCGCTGGAGTGAACACAGCCAAGCTCAGACCTCGACCTTTAAGCTGTGTGAGAGGAATTAAGGTGCCTTGACAAAGGAAATAGCATAAAAAAGTAGCATTTAATTGGCGGACTTAGCATGAACAGTGTAGAGGGGGTGAACATGTGCAGGCCGGCGAGGGGGGGAGGGGGAGTTTACATATTGATGGTGTGCAAAGGGAATTTTAAGAAGCTGCGAAAGTTTGGGGTACCACTACTTGAAAAAATATACTGTACCATTGAAAATTTGTTTAATGTTTGGTTCGATTTAGAACATCTTTCCAATGGTTGCTTAATTTGAAACCATCTTCTCGGTTGAAATTGTGTCTGTGTTTGTAAATCTGAATTGCCTCATGAACAAATCTCTGATAAAAACCCGTGGGTTTGCAAAGAACCTTGGTATCGAAGAAAATTATATCGTGATCACCCACAGCGTTGTAACAGTGATCAGCTACGGCAGAAAAATTCGTTCTGCCGTGTTTTAATTTGATTTGTGCTCGCGAATTCGGTCAGAGACATGTCGCTTTGTCTCCCCGATATAGCAATCACCGCAGGTACAAATTGAACATGTGCAGGCCGGCGAGGGGGGGAGTTGAGTTGACAGTCTGGTCCCTTCACCTGATGAAGGCCGCTTGTGTTGTGGCCGAAACGTTGTGATTTCTGTTGTTTTATTTTTTACCTACGTGACTTTACCGAATTGAACCAAAGAGTATGGATCCTTGCAGTCTCGAAAGCTTCAAATCTAGAATGTCCAGTTAGTCCTTAAGTCTGAGAGCTTTCCCCATTTCCATACTGAGAAAGGCAGGTGACTTCATCAAATGTAAAAACTAAATTAATCATTGGGTAATCGAATAATGGAAAATTTAGAAGCCAAACAATCACATGAGCAAGCTGGTTTTAGAAAATACTGTGTATTGTGTCACCAACTGCAACGTTACACCAGGCTTGTATATTTTTTATTGATATTCTGGAACTTAATATGGACCCTCAACATCCACTGTGTTGTACAATGCACAAAAGTGTTTAGTCCCAAAAGCCAATTACCTGGATGATGTAATCATTATAGGAGGCCTTCAGGTTCGCAATGAACATGTGGTGGCACTGCGGGTAAAACACGATGTTGGCCGTCTGGCCCATGGAGCCAGTACTCCGTGCACCCTCCATCAGTATCACTTGTATCCACACGGCATCCTCCCGAACGATCACTGCCACCACCTGGCAATCCGCATACATGCCACACCACGTGTTACAGCTCTCAATGTCAAAAAGCAGTGATTTCCTGCTCAAATTTGCATCGTCTATCCAGAGGAAAACTGCTGTTGACTTTGCCACGGCATGGTACTTATTTAATCCACCCCAGAGGGATTATGGGCAATTAAAACTCCCAATTAGGATTTGAACTTGCAATATTGTGAGCAGCTCGTTCTTCTTATAAGCCACTTAGCCAATAAAGAAATACAGACACATTGTTATTGACAACATTCCGAACGAGGTCTTAATTTTTAACTTCATATTTTCTGGGTAGCTGGTAGACTGGAGTAGGTGGCACATGGACTATTAGAAACAACTAAAAGCAAGAGGTATACTGGATGCTGGTGTGCTGGTTGCAGAAATATTTTCCGAGTTTCTGACCCAGACAGACCCAGGTACAATTAAGCCAAGCCAAAAGCGATTTTTTTTTACTGGATAGCACAGGAAGGGCTTACGTTTTCAAAATATGCAGAGATGTTTTCTTGCAGCTCGTACTCTAAATCTCCAGCATCGAAACACTTGTCTGCTTCTGTGAGAGAAAAGCATCAAATACAAATGACCAATTTATACAGTGAGGGAAAAAAGCATTTGATCCCCTGCTGATTTTGTACGTTTGCCCACTAACAAAGAAATGATCAGTATATAATTTTAATGGTAGGTTTATTTGAACAGTGAGAGACAGAATAATAACAAAATCCAGAAAAACGGATGTCAAAAATGTTATAAATTGATTTGCATTTTAATGAGGGAAATAAGTATTTGACCCCCTCTCAATCAAAAAGATTTCTGGCTCCCAAGTGTCTTTAATACAGGTAATGAGCTGAGATTAGGAGCACTCTTAAAGGGAGTGCTCCTAACCTCAGCTTGCTACCTGTATAAAAGGCACCTGTCCACAGAAGCAATCAATCAATCAGATTCCAAACTCTCCACCATGGCCAAGACCAAAGAGCTCTCCAAGGATGTCAGGGGACAAGATTGTAGACCTACACAAGGCTGGAATGGGCTACAAGACCATTGCCAAGCAGCTTGGTGAGAAGGTGACAACAGTTGGTGCGATTATTCGCAAATGGAAGAAACACAAAATAACTGTCCATCTCCCTCAGCCTGGGGCTCCATGCAAGATCTCACCTCGTGGAGTTGCAATGATCATGAGAACGGTGAGGAATCAGCCCAGAACTACACGGGAGGATCGTGTCAATGATCTCAAGGCAGCTGGGACCATAGTCACCAAGAAAACAATTGGTAACACACTACGCCGTGAAGGACTGAAATCCTGCAGTGCCCGCAAGGTCCCCCTGCTCAAGAAAGCACATATACATGCCCGTCTGAAGTTTGCCAATGAACATCTGAATGATTCAGAGGACAACTGGGTGAAAGTGTTGTGGTCAGATGAGACCAAAATGGAGCTCTTTGGCCGTGTTTGGAGGAGGAGGCATGCTGCCTATGACCCCAAGAACACCATCCCCACCGTCAAACATGGAGGTGGAAACATTATGCTTTGGGAGTGTTTTTCTGCTAAGGGGACAGGACAACTTCACCGCATCAAAGGGACGATGGACGGGGCCATGTACCATCAAATCTTGGGTGAGAACCTCCTTCCCTCAGCCAGGGCATTGAAAATGGGTCGTGGATGGGTATTCCAGCATGACAATGACCCAAAACACATGGCCAAGGCAACAAAGGAGTGGCTCAAGAAGAAGCACATTAAGGTCCTGGAGTGGCATAGCCAGTCTCCAAACCTTAATCCCATAGAAAATCTGTGGAGGGAGCTGAAGGTTCGAGTTGCCAAACGTCAGCCTCGAAACCTTAATGACTTGGAGAAGATCTGCAAAGAGGAGTGGGACAAAATCTCTCCTGAGCTGTGTGCAAACCTGGTGGCCAACTACAAGAAACGTCTGACCTCTGTGATTGCCAACAAGGGTTCTGCCACCAAGTACTAAGTCATGTTTTGCAGAGGGGTCAAATACTTATTTCCCTCATTAAAATGCAAATCAATTTATAACATTTTTGACATGCGTTTTTCTGGATTTTTTGTTGTTGTTATTCTGTCTCTCACTGTTCAAATAAACCTACCATTAAAATTATAGACTGATAATTTATTTGTCAGTGGGCAAACGTACATAATCAGCAGGGGATCAAATACTTTTTTCCCTCACTGTATACACACTAGCGGGAAGTACCCAGCGTTGCCCGGGTCAAAAATATATTTCAAAACTTCTCTTAAAAACCTTACATATACATACGCAGATACTAAGCTACTGTGAAAGCCCGGTGGCCCGTTTGTCCATTTCTCCAGCAACAAAATTATAAGAGGCTTGCACAAGTCCAGAAAGTTATAGAAAGTGGGGGGTAAATAGTTGGTCTAAAAGGTTTCTGAAAATTGTCGACCCCCCCCTCAAAAAATATCTTTACCCCCAGTAGTATCTATTGATTCTGCAATTGTATCTACTGATTGTACAGTAGTATCTACTGAGCCAGTAGTAGCAACTGACTGTTTAGTAGTATTTAGTGACTGTAGTAACTACTGACCAAAGAAGTATCTACTGGCCCTATAGTAGTATGTACCGACTCTATAGTAGTAACAACTAACTCTATAATAGTATCAACTTACTATCGTAGTATCTACTAACTCTATAGCAGTATCTACTCACTCAATAGTAGTATCTAATGACTCTAGTAGCTACTGACCATAGTAGTATCTACTGACTGCGTAGTAGTATTTACTGACTGTAGCAGTATTTAGTGACCGTAGTGGTATATACTGACTGTTTTAGTATCTACTAACTCTATATAGCAGTACCTACTATGACTACAGCAATGCATACCGACTGTGGTGGTACCTGCTATGATTACAGCAGTGCATATTGTGGTGGTACCTGCAATGACTACAGCATTGCATACTGACCATGGTGGTATCATGCTTTCACTACAGCAGTGCATGCTGACTATGGTGGTTATCTTGCTATGACTACAGCATTGCATGCTGTGGTGGTTCCTGCTATGATTACAGCTTTCACTACAGTAGTACATGCTGACTCTATCTTATATATGAAAGGGAAATTTGTGAATATGTGTCTGTTCGAAATGTTTAGCATAATTGCCGACATGCAATCAACTTATATAATCATACTCACTCACACTACCATTGACTCACTCACACAACATACCCTGGGGGTGTCATGCTGCCAGCTATGGCTGCAAGTTTGGTCATACATGTTATTTATATCGTTTGTTAAATGAAAATCACAGTTCCTATGATTACTGTTGTTAAATTGTTTTCATAGCTTTATTTTGGTGATTTAGAAAACATATGGTTAATCTATCTTATAGTTGTTATTGTTTGACTTGCATCACACTGGGATATGAGCACACAGTGTTGTAACACTTTTTTTATATTTGCTGGTTTATCCAGGATGGTTCTGTTAAGCGTCGTCGCTTCAAAACGATTCTAAAGAAATCTAAAACCTTCGATTCCTTTGCGCGATTTAAAGAATCGATTCTTGGCGCGCTCGGGTTTTATTTTAGTTTAAACTAATGAGTAATTTTTTCATTTGTATGTTATGTTTTTAAGTTTTCAGACGTTTTAAAATATATATTTGCCAGGGGCAACTCGTGTCAGCGTTTCGCGCATGCGCAACAGCGAGCCGGGCGGCAAAAGTAAAAAAATAAATCAAGAAAAATCGCACTACTTAATTAAACTACTTTAAAGGTGACGGATTGGAAAACGGAATAGCCTATTCCCACCGCGAGGCTCGGGATGTGCCGCCCGGCAATTTTTTTTTTGGCCTCAACTCCCCACCATCGGAGCGCCAAATCCCTCACAAGCGAGCGTACACAGAGGGACAGACAGACGGACGAACAGACAGACAAAAAATGCCTTTTATAGGTTAGATGATCAATTACTATGGGATGTGTAATTTGGATACGTATTTCTAATTAATATTTAAATTACAGGTAGTCCCCGACTTACAAATATCTGACGTACGAACATCAGTACTTACGAACACCAGCACTTACGAACACCGATAAGAAATTATTTTTTAACCATCCAATTTGCGAACATTTGCTCGTACTTGCAAAACTGAACCATGGAACTATTATATCCGGCGAAGCGATACTCCACGAGATGTAATGAGTCCCAGCATTAAGCATAATGCACGGCAGTGAACTGGTCGCAACATGTTTCGTGCATAACATCGTATGCTGTTTGTACTATTGCTTAAGTTTTTATATCATTGTAACCCTCATGTCTGAGAAACGGAAGACTGATTGATGCAAGTGATGTTGCTGCAGCGAGGAACTGCCGCACCATTGATTTGGAGATTAAACTGGACACAATAAAGCAGTCTGAGAAACGTGAAACTCCGACGAACATTGGATGTGCATTAGGCCTGAACCAGTCGATGGGAGGACCAATAAAAGGCAAAGCTTGAATTATTGAACATGTCAAGGGCTCGGTGTCTATGAAGTCGACCAAAATTCCAAAGCAAAGGGAGTGGTGTGATCAGTGAAATGAAAAAAAAAATTGATGCATCTCTCCTGTTATGCAAGCAAGCCAGCATCAGGATTCATGTTACTTTACATTTTATTTACTGTACAGTATTTATTACAGTATTACATGCAAATGCACAATATTTATTCTTATTGAGTTTAACTTTTTGTTGAACCATAGCAGATTTTATAACACTGACCGTATGTACAGTAGATTAGTGAGTTCCAAGATACAAACCATTCGACTTAAGAACAGGTCTTAGGAACGAAACCCCTTCGTAAGTCGGAAACTACCCGTATTTAAATAACATAGTTTAAGATTATGCCCATCTCTATTCTTTTTTACTATTTACACTGAAGTTTTGTTCTCACCTCGTCCAACTGGACAGCAGTGCAAGTGTGATATTTACCCTGGGGGTTTAGAAGCTGGAAGACTGTCCACTGTTTCTTATTGGGGGTTTTCTGCAGAGCTGCCAAGGCAACAAAACATGACAGATAGAAGTGTTGATCATAGAAAAACATCGCAAGTCTAAACTGACAGATGCCTGTGAGCAGTAGCCATGTGCTGATTTCACCCCATCACCCCACAATTCATTTCCATGTGGTTGTGATTCAAGTAAAAAAATTGAGCATTGCCTTATCTGTACCATGTCACATGTTGTATATGTATTGATTTTTCTCCCATGGTCTTGTTTATTGTCTGTTTGTTACCTTTGAAAATAATCACGTGTAGTTTGTCTCGATTGTTTGTTCTCATCTATAACATTCGTTCTGACTCCTCTATACTATCTCATTCGATCAAACCTTTCGCATGTAAGAATATAATCGGTTCTTACGCACACCATTTGATGCCTGTATGGCGAGTGTAAGAATCTACTTTAAGCCAAACATTTTGACATGTCCAGTGTCGTGAGCAGTTGACACGAGCCTTACAGAGAAGGCTGAGCTCAGCCACCTTCTTCAGCTCCACATTATTCTCCTGCAAGATAGAAACAAACAAAATCAGTAAATTCCACTCAGGTGTAATCTCAGCCCATCACATTTCTGAGATGCATAAAATTAGTGGGATATAATGGGGGGGGGGTCTTTAGTTGCAGTCCTATGGATATATTTCCCACCACTATAAGAATGTGGAATTTTCACCACTGGCTTGGGGCTATTAGCAAAGATGAGCATCACCTCAATATAATTCGGGAGTTGGAAAAACTAACAACTTTATTCTGAACAAGGTTTCAGCTGTTAAGGCCACAGACCAAGACGTTGGCCTGGGAAGAGGTGATTCTAAGTGTGTGAACCAGGACGTGAAGGATGGTGAAGTGGATGTGTGGAGGTAATGGCCAACGACAGGAACGAGTGGAGGAGGACCGAAGGCAAGACCCCACATGGAAGATGCTTGGGCTGTTAATCTATGTTAGGGGTCTTCCATAAATGGCGTCACGCACCTGGGGGAGGGGGGCGGGGGTTCATATATTTGTGACGATGTGTGACAAGGGGGGGGGGGGGGGGGGGGAGTTTGAGAAATGACGTCACATGAAAATGCGCAACTTTAAATATAGACAACACGTTCTACTTTAATTTTGATTTAATGCTTTCGTGACTGCAGGGATTCATATTCTTGGTTCTTTCGGTAGTCACGTAGAAAGGAAACAATAAAATAATAAAAATCTCGTTGTTTTATATTTTTATTATTTTATTGTTTCCCTTCTACGTGACTTTACCGAAAGAACCAAGAATACGTTCAACTTAATTAAATTGACGTCACATTAAAAACGCACTACAATGACAATAGTTTAAAGCGATTTGAAGCGTGTTTTATTTTCAAAATGGAAATATGGTTTTGGGGGGGGGCAGAGCTTTGTGACCTCATATTTGAGAGGGGTCTGACTTTTTGTGACGCCGTGTGACGGGGGGAGGGGGTCAAGAATCGTCCAAAATCGCGTGACGTCATTTATGGACGGCCCTCTTATCTCTCGACTTGGTCCAAAGCCAGAACTTGTACATTACGTGACGCCCTAGCCTCAACACAGACATTCCAGGTATGCCCATAACCTTACCGCTAACCCTACTCAGATCTAGCACACGTGTACCCCTCACTTTGCCTAACATAAATCTTGCTCAATCCTGACTCTACCCAGGTCTGCCACTCACCCTAAACCAAACCTCTACTCTCACCCTTAAACACTAATCCTCTGCCTAACCCAAACATTGCATCTCATACGTATGTGTGTATATATGCAGCACATTTGTCAATCATCTACTAGATGACAATGCGGAGGGAGAATAAATATCTGAACATACTTTACGACAATTTGTCAATGCTTGTTGGTGTAGGCAGGGGGGGGGGGGTACAGATGCACCTTGCAGAAGCGCACGGCCGCCGAGATGAGGTTCCCCTTGCCGGCGCGTGTTACCCGGCCCAGCGCCTGCATCTGCGACCCCGAGAAGGCGCCCCAGGCCTCCAGGACAGACAGGCACTCCGCCTGCCTCAAGCGGTACATGGCGTGGCGCAGAAGCACCCACGGCTCCATTGCCGGCGTGAAAGAGTAGGCCAACGCACCGAGTGCCGCGGCTGCTGAGCTGTGGGACGCGAGCGCACAGGCCCCCTTTCGCCGGCCCGTAGCGTGAGCCACCAACCAACTTGCAGGCTTCACGCCTTTATTTTTTGTACCTTTTGAGTACACACAACTGCCTTATCTTCAACCGTAATCGCTGTCGATTGCCGCTGTGGCAACGATGAGGCGTTATTCGTCGTGTATCTTGCGGCGGCGCTTATAAAGCGTCGCGAGTCGCTCGCGCAGCTCGTCATAGAAGCATCCAGCGCGTTGCCGCCATCTCGTTCGTATGTGGGGTGAGGAGGAAGGGGGAGTTCAGGGGGGTCAATTTAAGCGTCTCAGCCAATCAGAGACAAGACTGCGCCTGAGCTCGCCTCGGATTGGCGGAGACAGTCGAGGGGGCGTCGCCGGGGAGCGAAGCGCGCGGGACGTGACGTGGGGGCGGGGGAGCGGTGGCGCAGCGGTGAGCGACTCCGCGAAGTCGGTGACTTCACAACCGCGATCTTCAATGCTGGGAAGGAATCCGATGAGCAGCGAAGCTTTTACACAAATCTCCAGTTTAGTTACAACGACAAACAATCCCTAAAGAAAAAAAATCCGATAGAAGTGCAAAGTATATAAAAGGTAAGCAAGTCACTCAAATAAAGTACTGTATTTAAGTAAAACAATGCATAAGGACATGCTTTCGATTCCCGCTCACGACCAACACCAGTGACGATTATCTGAACCGGTCTTGGGCATCCCCTAGGTCGATTCAGTCTCAAATAAGTATTTGGTGCGGTGTGTAAACATCGCCACTGGGGAGACAAAGGCGGTAGGGCGTGGTGCTGGCCACCAACCCCCTCGTGTGCCGTGCTGGCTATGTGTGCTCGCTAACAGCACTTGCCTCAACAGTCTGTCAAAGGATCATACGGGGCATCTTTGGTCCTGGGCTTGTGGAGGGTCCTTGTGGAAGGCAGAGGAGCGATGCTCACATCAATGCGCGGAGCGTCGGGCAGCTAAAACATAGGAAGTTGGCAGAGTAGGGGGCACAGCTGGTGCATCTGCTAGTCATCTTGAGTAAGTCAACCCGTGTCACCTGGGTCTGTGTACCTGTGACCTGTCAGCGAGCCTTCGACACTTTACGTCGCCGCCTCAAAGCGCACCTAGCCTCGGCACGAGCGCCGTGGTGGCGGTTGCTATTGATGCCCCCAGGGTCTGGAATGCTATTGCCAATAAACTGCAACTTGAATCACTACCTATGAGATCTTCACTCAAAACTGCTCTAGAGGAGTTGTACACCCCTAGCTGCCACTGCTATTCAGTGGCCTAAAAGATGGCTCTAGATTTTGGTGTTATAATTTATTTATGTAGTTTATTGTTAAAAAGTCGGTCACAGTCCCTATGATCACTGTTACATTGGATTTATGGCTTTTATTTTGGTGATTTCGAAAAGTTTTTTTTTGTTTTGGCCATGTTTTTGTTTATTGTAGTACGGAGTTAGACTGATGGCTTTAATCTTAGTTGTCTTGTGGTTGTTGTTGTTATTTGACTTGCATCCCACTGGGATTTTTGCACACAGCGTTGGTGTACGGTGCTATTTCAGGAATATTTTGATATTTTTTCCCTGTATTTTCTGTTTGCACAGTCACATAATCACTTTAAGATGTTTTCTTGTTCATGTTTTTTGTTTGTTGCGGTTGCACCCGATTCAAGAGCCGAATGGCTCACAGGGCTATACCAAATAAATTAACTATGAACTATAAATGAACTATGTTGTGCTGGGATTGTATTGGCGGTGAGTGGTGGTTACGTTTCAAGTTGAGAGACGAGGGTAGTCGCGGGTGCAATGGTGGGTGTGTGTGTGTGAATGAGCGAGTGACTGAATGGGTGAGTCAATGAGCGGGTGAGTTTACGTTGCAATGTTTTTGTGGCTTAACCAGGTGAGAACTCGAGAGACCAGGAGAGTCTTAATTCGAAAGAGTGACCAAGGTTACCAAACTGATGAGCGAAACATGTAAAGACAAATAGAAATCGGGCCGAGTGGGAAAGTAGTTTCCTTGCCTACATGAAGGGCCTGTAAAGACCTGGGATGTATTTTGGCCCTAGTTTTAAGTGATCCTAGGTTCTTGCTCGACTCGTAATACGAGTCAAAGGCGGGGCTGATTGACAAGTGGACGTTATTGTCTTGCTCACCGAGTGGCAGACATTGTCTCCTTCATATATACGTCCATATAAAATATATACGTGTATATAAAAGTACACTTCCCGTCAACAACATGACCTCCTGGGAGTGCATAACGTCGGCAGCCTTGCTTCATGAAATACGTACGAAAGCTGGACCGGTTTGGACTTTCATTGTCATGAGCAGTCCAGGTTTGTTTGGATTCACTGCTGTTTTAACTGCCTGACGTAATAGGCAAGAACCCTCTTTAAGGCACATTACTAACACTGGCCTTTTAAGGCAGTGTTATTGACGAATGTTTTGGAGCTTTGTTATTTGTGCACTACTGCCAACGAAGTATCACCAAATCATGTAATATATTTGAGATATTGTTTCTTTAAGCAAAGATCCCCCGTTTAGGCTGTTGGGCAAGTGCTGTTAGCGAGCACATATGAAGACCAGAATGTCGTACAATGGAGTTTGTGGCCAACACGACGTCCAACCGCCTTTGTCTCCCCAGTGAAGATGTTTACACATTGCACCGGGTACTCATTTGAGGCTGAGTCGATCTAGGAGAGGCCTGAGAGTTTGGGAAACTGCTGTAAACGAATCACCACTATAAGGGTTGTAGGCGCATCGCCTGTGTCCTGTGCGGATTCGATTGAGAGCTGTCCACTACCTTTGAGGGAGATCGCAGCCCTTGGATCAGTGATAAGGTGTTGGTTCTTTATGTTGCATGCATCCCACCTTCCCATCCACACCACGGGAAGGTGGGGTGATATGGCAACATGCCAGTGGCTGGTGACGCAAACTTGACCCACACTCTGCAGGGGGAAGTGGCAGTGGACTTTAGCACCTACGTGAGGCCCCGGCGGGGGTATGGGGGGCAGGCAGGGGGACCACTAACCACATCAGGTAAGGGTAGAGGTTCGCGGGAGACCCGCTCATCGCTGGACATTTGCTACTCGCACGGCGGTACAGATATGGCAATCCCATCCCGAGAAACCTGGTTTCAGCGCCGTTCTAAAGCCAGGTCAGGCCAGGCCACCCAAGACTGGCAGCACTCACAGAAGGGAGGTGTTGTTTCACCCAGGCAACTCACATACGCGCTTGTGTAATCAGCGCTGGCTGAGGTTTGGTGGACAGAGGATGGCAGAGGGCAGGCAAGACGAGGTTTTAATCGCATATCGTTCGTACACCCCCCCCCGCCCCTGTTGTTGGTGGCTGCAACAAAAAAGATAATGAGCCGAAAACTGAAAAGGCGAGTTGCAATGGGGAGGTCGGGCAAGTGGGTGGTTTAGCATTTGTTTAGCTTGCACACTAGTGAGGTTCCAACCATAACCAACTAGCCCTGTGTACACAAGTGCTTTCCATAGCCAAATAAACTGAACCCACTAACTAGACCACCAGTCCATAAACAAGTAATTACTGAGCAGCTGGCCTTATCCTTAACCCTAATCAACTAGCCCCTAAGCATAAGCAACTATAATAGCAGCCACCAGTCGTAACCCTAACTCCCTCCAGTGGCTCCCCAGGTCCACTTTTCATATTTTATTCTCTTTGCAGTGCTGGTGTTCACACTAATAATATGATTCAACTTGTAATGCTCCGCACAGTATCCACTCACTCTTCTCGCGAGAGAATGACTCGGAGGTGCGAGGAACCAAAGACAAGCGGAAACGCAGCCCTTTGGTGAGCTGGCACCAACAGTTGCCCAAGCTCTACTGTCCTCTATATATTAAGGTGTTATCGGTCGATTAATGTGTTTACATGAGGGAGGAACCAGAACATTAAAAAACTCCACGTAGGGGGGAAACACTATCCCATACATATAGAATGGGTGGAGTCAACATTTTTGCTGTACCGCCTCCTGGCGAACAAGAGTATATGGTACCTCAACACCCACGGGAATGGAGTTTTACAACATTTGCGCGATCCAGCAACCCTCGCCTGCACAGTGCTGGATTACAGATCACGTGCGCCACCACAGTACCCCCCATGTGCTGTGTCTGTGCCCCTCGTGTCTCCGTGTGCTCAGGGCTGTGCCCGTGATTGACGGTGAAGTCATGATGACACCACCACAGCGGCTGCGTGTGGCCGTGGTGGGAGCCGGTGCGGCGGGCCTGTGCACCGCTCGCCACATCTTGGATAGCCCTGCTGACTTCGTGGCGCCGGTCGTGTTTGAGATGGACTCCGTGGTGGGAGGGACCTGGGTTTACAAGGAGCTGCCGCCTGAATCCGACGCGAGTTGCCCTGTCTTCTCGAGCCTCTACCGCGACCTCAGGTGCCTGACTGTGGACGGTCTGGTGCTATTTGTTGCTGACCGATTGGAGCTTTTGGCCTTTAGGACTGTGTTTGGCAACCGTGATAGAAACAAAAAGCACGTGGACCTGCGTCAAGCACTGTGCATGGATTATTCACCCACCTGTACTCATATAGGCAGGGAGATAAAATATTATTTGGGGTTATTTGACTATACCTCATCACGCTGGCCAGTGCGGATTGATAAAGGCAAGGAGCATACAGTAAAATTATGGAAGTTCATGCACTGCCCATTGCTGCTATAGCAGCGGAACTTAGCTTCTGAGATCTAACGAGATCGGGCACACACCGAGTGATTTGGTCACAGGTTGATCTTGATCTCTGCCGTATATAGATGTGTAGTGAGTCCAACTGAGTCGTAGACGTTATCTTAGGAGCAACACTATTTACACAATGGTACGTAACATAACACAATCTACACTCGGGTCTCAAATGCCCATTAAACCATGCTACGGTAGAACTAGACACGGTTCACTATCCCAGTCCGGACCACAAGCTGGGTCCCGGACCGTGTGGCTAGGGGCTTCTTCTCCCCGACGTGGATCTTCGTAACACCAGCACACGAAGAACCTCGAGCTCCTCACGGGGCCCTCGTTATATGCCACCGGGCTGGGGCTGGCTCCGCCCTTCGCCCCGCCCACCTTCCAGGTCTCTCGAGCTCCTTCTCGAAGGTTGCCGAGAGCTTTTTTGGACCACGTGACTGCCCCGCGGCCCCCGTCCACCGGTGGCCCCCCTCCAATATCATCCGGTCACGTGTCAGCAGGTCAACCAGCGTATCATGCCCCAAGGTAACCCTGGCTGGCTGACGCTCCCTCTTGCTCCCTCACCGGGAGCCCGCACCGCACACTGCTCGCGGTGCCTCCGCGCTAACCAGCGCTCACCCAAACCCCGCCTAGGGCTGGTACTACATCCCGTAACCCGGGCTGCCCATAATGACAACACATTACCCGCCGTGGCTTTGCAAGCCCCGGCACCATACAGTGACAAGCACAGTCACTACAGATGTAATAAAAAAGAACATTTGTTGCTTAAGTGTTCGAAAAATTTTCTGGAAAGCCAAAATTTCCATGGACTAAACATTTCTATCAGTATGTGCAGACACAGAATACAGTTGTGCTAATATAAATATATTGCTTTAATGATAAAAAAAACGTGAGTTAGGCAACTTAATGATTTAGCCAAGTTATTTATAATCTCTACAACGACGCAAATGATTACTTTGAGTTATGGGTAGAGGATACTGAAGAGCAACCCTAGTTAACGAATTATTAAAGTCCCGGCTAGCGTACACACAACATTGAGAAATACATAGCCTCCCATTTGCTCTCTATGGTGCTGGGGACCTAGAGGCCACGGATTGGCCAAGAGGTGAGAATCTGCGTGAGTGATGAGAGAAGGTTCCAGAATGCAGGGGGTGGGTTTGCGGTGGCGCGTATGTTAGGGAGAGGGAGGATTTGATCATGGTCAGTTTGTGCTCTCTCTTCCATTGTGCCCTGTTCCATGAAGCCCATCCAGGAGTTTTAGTACTCACTAAGCCATCATTTGGCTGTTTCAAATGTCCCTCCAGGTGTAGTCCCAAGCCAGTCCCCCTGGATAGGCTTGTCTGCATCAAGCACAATCTGTGAGCACCAGTTTGAGCGTGAGCGTTCCCATACATGAGTCCACATTTTGTCGGGTTTTATTCCAGATCTGATCTTGACACTCGACCATAAGGCAAGGCAAGCCGGGACATCTGGTCGGAAATGAGCTACATGCCCTGGATAGGCCCAGACTGTGGTGTCGAATGAGGTCCTCTATGTTGGGGAGACCGGTGCGGGATGTGATGGTGATGTTTGTGATAAAGTCAGATCACCTGATCCCAAGAATGCGTTGTTCACAGCACATATGGAAAGCATCCAGACGCTTTATGTTTAACGTGAGCAGTGTCCAGGTATTTGAGCAATAGAGCACAACTGGCGGGATGGAAACATTGTAGATGCGTAGATTTGTTTTGAGGCCGAGTCTCCCCGTTGCCAGATGAGGGCCATACCGATTGTTCACCGGATTTCTACTTTGGGTTGACTGGAGGAGCACGGCGTACTACCGAGTTCGATAACTTTGTTGACCCCTCCATGGTCTGCTGCCCATTGTGCTCGAATGTGGTGGCTGTCGGACACAATGACAGGTTCCGCACCTTCGTAGTGGTCAATAGCAGGATGGATGTGCACTGGGTCACTGACGAGTAGGTTAAAATTGTCCGCTGCCAACGGACAGTCCATGGTGGACTGCAACTCTGCCCATTAACCGGTCGATAGCCAGCCAGAATAATGATGGCGAGAACATGCATCCTTGCCAGGCTGTAGACCTGGTACGAAACAGTTTAGACATTTCTTGTCCAACCCTCACCTGTGTGGATGTATCGCCGTACAGGTTGGTTATTAAGCGTATTAATGGCTCTGGTATACCACCTCCTGAGGGAGCCTTCCAGATCGCTGTCCTGTCCACCAATGTAGGGGATGTACAGGGGTCAGTTGAACTCTCGGTGTAGATCAGAGAGCAAATGGAATGGAAGGACAGCATCTGCTGTGGACCGACCCACTGTGAAGCCTGATTGGTGGCGTGTCGCTTCTGGTGCAAAAGTGAGGACAAGTTAGCTAGTAGCATGTTGGATTTTTTCCTGGGACAGATAGAAGGGTGATAGGACAGTAGCTACTACAATCAATTGGTGAATCTTTTCCTTTATAAAGTGAGACAATCACGCCATCTCGCCAGTCAGCCGGGAGGTCCAGACAAACAAATTAAATTATCAGACGTACAAGCACTTATTATTGTTTCTGATGTAAACTGAGGGAAAATCGCACAATATCGCGTTAAACCAGTCAATGAACTCTGTGATTTTCAGGACAAATCTGCCCAAGGAGGTGATGGCCTTTCCCGACTTCCCATTTGACAAGAATCTGCCATCCTTTATACACCACAGCGACATGCGAGCCTACCTGGACCAGTACGCCGACAACTTCAGCATTCGGCCACACGTGAAGGTGCCCTCACAGTGCCATGGCGGGGGAGTAGTGGCAGCTGAACAGTGCAGTGGTGCCAGCATAACAGCAGCAGGAGAGTGTGGAAGGAGGGGCAGGGTGACAATACAGCATGAGGATGGCATCAAAATGCCCTCGGCTCTAGCTTTGGTCTCTGTGCTGTGCAGAAGGGCCATTGCCCAAAGCATTGCCTGTCATATTTTTTAAGGCCGTGTTATTGATGAATGAGTTAAATGACTGTGTTGTGTAGTTATGGCTCTGGTGACAGCGGGCTGTGAGCTATGCTGCCGTGGGTTTTACAGGGCCTGGCCTTAGAGATTCCTTGTCTATGTCCATTCCATCAGCTCAGCAGCCATGATGGGGCCGAATTAAATTCCTTCGTGTATCTACAGCCCAGTGGCTCAGCAGTAGAGCCAGCATCTCACAATCGGATGGTGGTTTTGAGTTACCACTGGGGATGATAAAATGAATACCAAATTATGGGGAAGTCAACTGTTAATCATTTTATGGATCAATTCACTCCTGCCATAAAAATGTGGGTTTTCCCTTGCTGGCTCAGGGCTGTAAATGGGAGCTGAGCACCAATGCCTCAATGCTAATTTGATTAGAAAAACACTTCCTAGCAAGTGTCAATGCTTCATTCAATCTCACTCCTCGTTCTTCTCGATATCTTGCCTCACCGTCTCTCTCTGGCTCTGATCCATCCTCTGTTCTTTGCTCCCTTCCATCTGTGAGTGTGGCATCGCTCAGGGATGATTAACAAGGTTTGATTGTGGGCCGGTGATACACAAGTATGTTTTAACAAAAATAAATAAAACAAAAGCATGCCACACCCTCTGTCATGATTATCATAAGCGTGGCTGATGTATCTTTATGCATTATGTACCTTGTGCGATTTGTGAACATCAGCGATATGGAAACAAAGGTCGAGCGACCGTGGTGTTGGCCACACCACCCCCTAGTGCGCCGTGCCAGCTTTAATAGGTGTTTGCTCACAGCAACTTGTTAATGGCTATATTCAGGTGTGAATACAGTACCGTGGGGAGCGGTGGAGCATCGGTTAGTGCATTGCGCTGCGAAACTGGCGACCCGAGATTGATTCCTGCTCATGCCCAACACAAGTAATGGGTACTGCAAGATCCGACCATGTCCATCTGATGCTTGCTGAGCTGCATTGGCTTCTGGTTGCTGAACAAAAACATTATCAAGTCACACTCATTACACACAAAGTGCTTGGCACAAATTAATCACAATACCTTGATCTTGTCAAGGAGCATAAACCATCATGCAAACTTGTCATCCTCATAGAGGTTTTTGGCGAACCATCGAACAAAGATGGGTCACTGCATCGCGCACTTTCAGATGCACTTCTGCTGCCGTCTGGAACGCTCTTCCGATTTTACGAAGCCACTGGAGCTATGCACTTTTAAATCATCTAGATTGAAAATGTATTTCTTTGCACTTAGTTTTTGGGTTACATTTTTCGTCCTTCCCCCGCACCTTCGATTAGCACGGTTGGCTATGTACGGTGTAAAAAAGTTCAACATAGATACATAGAGAGACAAAAGCAGTCAGGCGTGGTGTTGGCCACCCACCCCCTCATGTGCCATGCCAGCCTTCATATGTGCTCGCTAATAGCACTTGCCCCAACAGTCTGTTAAAGGCTATACAGGGGTCTTTGTGTATGTATGTGTATGAGCCAAGTGTATGTGACAGTATTTGAGTGCATAGGGGATTGGTTTTTCTTTGTGTGTGCATGAGCGTGCATGGGGAGCAGTAATGCAGCGGTTAGCGTGCTGCACTACAAACCTGGCGACCCGCGTTCAATTCCCACTCACTGCTAACAACAGTAACGATTATCTGAACCGGTGCTATGCCTCCTCTAGGTGGACTCAGCCTCAAATAAGTACCTGGTATAATGGGTAATCATCGCCACTGAGGAGACAAAAGCGGCCGGGTGGGGTGCTGGCCACCCACCCCCTTATGTGCCGTTCCGGCCTTCATAGGTGCTCACTAACAGTACTTACCCCAAAAATATGTTAAGGCTACATGGGGGATCTTTGTCTATATGAGCAGTTCCAGTGGCGGGTGGAGCTGGTGCAGCCGGTGCCGGGACCAGCTGGCACAGAGGACCGCGTGGCCTGGGACGTGACGGCCTGCAGCCTGACCGATGGGCACCGCACCACGCAGCGCTACGACGCAGTCATGGTGTGCAACGGGTGCGTGTAACGCTGCGCCGCCACACTTCACTAATTAATTAGAGCTGGTGGATGACACGTGAAACTCCCTTCCCGTGGACGTCGAGGTGCCATACCCTGGCTAGCCAGGAGAAGGCGGTACAGTAAATATGGGCTCCACCTTTTCCACCTGTATGGAAGTATTGTTCCCTCCCACGTATGCTCCGGTTTCCTCCCACTTGTAAACACTTAATAATTGGCCGATAACATATTCATATATGGAGCAGCTCAGAGCTTGGGAAATAGTTGCGGCCAGTTTATCTGTGGTTTATCATACCTCTGAGTCGTTCTTTCTCTTTAAGAGTGAGCAAATACTGTGCGGTGGTGTGTTATGAGTTGACGTTAATATCATAAATAAAATCGGTTACAAAAATATTACAGAAAATAAAATATGATCTCATTCAAGATGATTACAATTGGACAGAAATCATCGATTACAAATATCCACCAACGCGAAAGTGTGACTTTGACGAGACGAAGTTAACAAGCCTGAATGAAGACGCAGAAAGACATCATTTAGTAGCATCATTCGAGACTGCAGTTTACTGAGGGAGACCAAACAGGTAATTAGCTTTGTATGCATATAAACAGGTTTACTGAGTATTCTTTGGGTCTTTCGGTAAAGTCATGTAAATAGGTTCATATTAATAAAGATAAAATAAATAAAAACTACGTTTCGTAGTCTGTTTTCCTCTTGATGACGATCGCTTGTGTTGTGATCGAAACGTCATAGTTTTTTATTTTTTTATTAATTTGAACCTATTTACGTGACTTTACCAAAAGACCCAAAGAATATAAATTCCTGCACTCACGAAAGCTTTAAGTTAAGGTTTACTGAGCTTACTTCTGATTGGCTGATCTGTTATAATACTGGGGGGCGGGGTGGATTTTTGCATCCCCTCACTGCAATTTATTTTTCATAGTTTGTCGTTGTAACTTGCTGACCAACCCCTACTGGACATCTGTAAAAAAGGGCGTCATAACTCATTGGATTCCTTCAGTCTAAATAAATATTCTGAAAAATTCAGATTTAATAACATAAAGAGTGTCACGAGAGGTTTGACTGCTTTAGTTCACCAGATTAATAGAATGGCTAAAAAAAAAAAGGCCTGTAAATGATTCTTATTGTTACCAACTCATATATATCTAATAAGAGATAATTACACAGGTTTAACTGGATTGAGACTCTAAACAATAGTTTTTTCAATGCTAAATTAACACTGATCACCAGCCTCACCTCCCGCACCACCTGCTTGTGTCACCTTCACGTGCGCTTGCAGACGTTTTGTCGGGTAACCTTGGCACGGGCATTATTAAACTTGTCCGTCATGGCCTATGTAATAAGCTATAAAGGGCGCGCGCGCGTGCGTGCATATCTTAAGACAATAAAAACCGAAGCGTGTGAAGCCGGACACAATGCCGCCTATTATGTGTCGCACTTGAGCCTTGAAAATTAAATGCTCGTGGCACAGTGGTCAGCGATCTGCCCTGCGAATTTGTCAATCTGAGTTCCATTACCGGCCACTGCTAATGTCAGTGGTGAGTGATATTTGATCCGGTCAGAGGCGCTTGCCCCTTAACCAACCCGCAAGTATGGCCAATCACCCCCCCGCCCCCATGATTGATACGGTGTGGGGAGGCATTCATCCAGCAGTGGATTGACAATATATGTATAAATCATTATTAATTTGTATACCTACCTAATTATAGAATCAAGAGAAGTTGATTATTAAGGGGTTCTTCTGTTACCCAGTAGTCACTGTTAGGTAACTATTCATGTCAATTTTAAAACTTACTGTTTTGATGCCCCATGGTGTAAAGTGCAGTCTCAAACCCTTATTATATCCACTCTATCCTTCTGGCCTCTCTATTCATGTGCTATGGGCCATTGCTGGAAATGTCGCCTCTTATATAATTTTTATTTTAAGGCCACCGTGTTTTTGACGAATGTTGAGTTTTTGTTTGTTAACTATGCTTCTGCACCACTGCCAACCTAGCATCACCAAATCATGTATTTCGGCCAGAAAGACCAAGTGGATGATAAGAGTTGGAGACTGCACTTGCTTTCCCGAATGGGGATTGATGGCCAAGATTTACTTTGGCAACTGCCTCACCGATTTACTTCTTCGTTTCCCTAGCCACTATTCTGAACCGCACGTGCCAGATATTCCCGGCGTCGGTCTCTTCCGTGGTGAGATCCTCCACAGCCACGACTACCGCAGCGCCGAGCGCTTTGCGGGACGGCGCGTAGCGCTGCTCGGCGCTGGCGCCTCCGGCCAGGACATCGCTGTAGAGCTGTCCGGCATGGCGAGCCATGTCCTGCTCTGCCACCGCGGTGCCAAGCCGCTCCCCTCCGCGCTGCCGTCCAACGTTCAGCAGGCGCCCGCCGTGCTGGCGCTGACGGAGGGCGGCGTGGCGTTGGCCGACGGCACAGAGCGCGCAGTCGACGCGTTTGTGTTCTGCACGGGCTATCGCTACTCCTTCCCCTTCCTGGCGGAGGAGGCGGGGGTCCGCACGGGCGACGACGAGCGAACAGTGGCGCCGCTCTACCGACACCTTGTCCACGTGGACATGCCGACGATGTTCTTCATTGGGTTGTGCAAGGTGGTCGTCCCCTTCCCACTGTTCGACTGTCAGGTGGGTGGGGTCGGCGCAGTGTGGCGTCATTCACCGTCTCCGAGCAACGCTGCTCACCAGCGCTCACCATCGCCCAGAATCGCTCACCATCGCCCACTAGCACCCGACATCACCATCACCCAACAACACTCACCATTGATCAATCACTTTCACCAACATCACTCACCAACACCTATAATTACTCAACATCACTTACCATCACCACCAAATATTGCTCATGATCACTGACCGCCACCCAACATCACTCAACCATCACTCACCATCACCCACCACTACTTGCCACCATACATCAAGCAATGCAATACAAATACCAAACACAAAGTAAAACTGATGATATTGCAACGATTGTCACACCATGAAGCCTAGCATCGCATCATCACCACGAGCGGTGCTGTGGCGACCCCACAGGTGCGTTTCTCGCTGGCGACGCTGGTGGGCCGCGCGTCCCTCCCATCACGCGGCGAGATGGAGGAGGAGGCACGGCGCGAGCGGGAGCAACGCCGTACCGCGGGGGTCCCCGAGCGGCGCGAGCTCGTGCTGGGGGAGCGGCAGTGGGGGTATGTGGCAGAGCTGGCGCGGTTAGCCGGCGCACCCCACGCGGCGCCGCCCCCCTGCGTGCGTGCGATCTACGACGACGTAGCGAAGCGGCGTTCACTCGACCTGCTTGCGTACCGCAGCGTTAACTACGAGGTGACCGGGCCAGAGTGCTGGCGCTTGCTGCCTGGTGATGGCGGCAGACGAAACGGTGCAAAAGGCAATAGTGGAAGATAAGAGGGTGGCAGTGGAGGTGGGAGAGGAGACGGCGGAAGAGGAGACGGCGGGAGAGGAGGTGGTGAGAGAGGTGGCGATGGGAGATGAACGGATGTTGATGCTGGTCGATGATTAATTCATCTATGTGAGGAGATATGGCAAATGTGTGTTCTGCACTTCACGTGCACGGCCTTGGAGTTTTTTGACAATAATAATAACACGTTGAGCCCTTTTGTGAATTCATTCCATTGCTGATGAAGGCCTCTCCACAACTGGTACAACGTTGCAGTTGTGTGACCATACTTCATCATGCTGGTCAGTGTGGTTTGTTGAAGTGGAAGGCGCAGGTCTGGTTCAGATATCGCCCACCACTGATTTTGGCCGTGGCCGGGAATCAAGTTCAGATCGCCGGCTCCGCATCGTGGTACATTGACCAAAGTGCCGCCGCTCCACTCGCAAAGTTTGGTACATATATCAACAATTTTACATAAAATCTCACTTGAATAAGTGACTAAATATACAAGGCACTTTACAGTATAAAGTTGTAAATGTATGAATGTTAAAAAAATCTAAGTATAACGTGTTGACGTTAAAGTTGTATCCGCAATAATGTATTTGTTGGAGCGCCGCTTGGTCACTACCGTTGATCAGATTGAAAGTGACGCATGCTCTTTGTCCCATGGCACTGGCTTTTGAGAAGAAGGGCTTCTTACCGGGGGGTTCATTGGTCCGCTCAGGGGTCCTCGGGAATCCTTCGGGCGAGAAGGAGGTGGGGGTCTACATTAAGGTAGGGGCCTCAGAGGGGGCAACAAAGTGTCAAGGCATTTCCAGCTGAATCTGCACCCAAGCAGCTTCACAGTTGTCACTTTAACCCTCTCGTCTGTGATTAAAAGCAAGTGATGTTTGTTTGTTTATTTGTGATTTAAGTCAAACAAACCCCGCAATATGCTGAATTAGTTTTTATATAATTCACAAAATTCTGATGACGTCCACTGCAGTCGACACGGAGCTTTCCACTGGCCGTCAGCTGGATAATCGGTGGGGCCAGGGCATCCATGGCCACCACTCGAGGTGCTAAATATTTAGCAATGCCAGTTTCTTCCGAAAGTGGCTCATACGAGTGCTTATTAGGTAAAGTTATTTTATGATTTTACTATTTTTGCTGATTTAAAGATTGTTTCGTAATTGAAATATTTCACTTGAAAATGCAATACAGGCAGGAAATATCGTTTGCAAGAGTGTCCAAATGGTCTTGGAACCACTGGCGTTTGGCCATCTCAAGTGGCATCAACCCAGTAAAGATTTGGTTGGGACTGGAATGGCAAGCTCTGCTTCACCCAGGACCCAAATTGTCCACTGCGAGGTCGTCACACCGAGTAGATGGCAGCCCTATAGAGAGAGAACCGCCATGCACCAGGAGCTTTGGGGAATGCATTACCGTGGATGAAATTACAACACAGAGCGCGGTCCACCGCAGTGGACAGGGCGGATGCACAATGGTGTTAATGGTGGTCCGTGAGATTGTGGGGGCGGTGGCTGTGAGAACTCTGACCCAAGGGGTAGTAAAGACCGCCTGCTGAACTCGATGGATCACGTGGTGGTTGCTGCTTCGTGTGGATTCGCTGTGGCTCGAGGTGCTTCACAGGGGAGAGCGATTGAAAGTTGGGGGGGTTGGCGGGTGGAGTGCACAGTAACACGGCTGCAGAGACTGCTGATCCTGCAGCCACGGGTGATGATGCCACTGCTCTTGCAATGCTGGTCCTTGCTGCTCCGACCAGGACAGTCGCATTTTTCAAAAGTGACCTGAGTCACCAAACGTGACTATAGCAGAAACAAATTACTGTACAGCAATTAAGTAAACCACAATTAGAACAAAAATAACTTACATGAGAATGTACACACATAAACCAATACATCAAATATATTAAAGTCTCTGCAGTGCAATCGGCTCTGGCTGCTATTAATACTTAGTACAGCTGCTGCTACTGCTGTAGTTGGTACGCCGCTGCAGATACTAACTGGTGCTATTACAACTTTCAAATACTGCTGTGACATTCTGCTTCCAATGTTCCTGCTGCTACGAATCACCGCACGGCCACTGCTGTTATTACTGCTGGAGAGCATTATGAGACTCAAACGTCGCCTGTGAGGGTGGGTGTGTGAAGTGAGTGGGTAAGGTGTTGGAGCTGAAAGTGGGTGAGCGACATCTTTTCGTCTGCTACCTGGTCTGTCGCTCCACACGAGCTTCTGGTCTTCTCGGTCAGTCATGCCCTTTCTTCTCATGCTTGCGAAACGTGAACTCCCCAAATGGAATATCTGCGCCGGATTAAAACGTTCAGGCTGGGTTTAATCTATGATCCATCCAGGGCCAGGATGGATTGTGATGAATTCACACATCATTGAAATAGGATATATTCCCATCAGTGATCTCCGGAGGGAAAGGCCGCGTTGGCTGGGTCATGTAGCCCGCATGCCCAGCCACCGCATGCCCTGCAGCTTGTTAAGCCGAATAGAGAGGGCTCAACGGGTGCTACATGGGCTGGAGAGGAAATGGCCGAGTATAGGAGGATGTGGAGCTGAGTCGACTTGCCGAAGACTGGTACCAGTGGAGTCAAGAGCGGCCTCTATGGAGGAGGCTCATGAAGGACGCTCCTGGCCAATTGGGGGCAGTCGCCTCCACAACAACGAGCGGCGCGCTGGGCGACTAAAATACAGCACGTTTGCACAGTTGGTGCATCTGCCCATCTCAGTCAACCCATGCTTGACACGTGGGTTTGTCTCGTCATCTGTCAGCGAGTCTTCGACACTTCACGTGGCCTCAGAGTGCACCTGGCCTGGCACAAACGCCGTGGCGACGTCACCGCCACTTAGTGGCGAATGGCTGTTGTTAAGGTGAGAGGGTGAGTCGTTGAATGAATGGGAGTACGTGGTTGGAGCGGATGGCGGGGGGATTAATAGATGGGTACGTGGATGGATGGGTAAATGAGTGAGTGGAGGTGGGAAAGTGGATATATTGAGTGGGTGAGTGTGGAAGCGTGAGTGTGTGGGGCCGTCCATAAATGACGTCACGCACCTGGGGGGGGGTCAGACATTTGTGACGCGGGGGGGTTTGAGAAATGTGACGTCACATCAAAATGCGCAACTTTAAATAAGTATAGATAACACGTTCTGCTTAGTTAAATATACTTTTCAATAAGTGTTTTCTGCAACATCAGAGTGCAGCGGCACATTAAATACGCACTACAATGACAATAGTTTAAAGCGATTTGAAGCAGGTTTTTTTTGGGGGGGGCAGAGCTTTGTGACGTCATATTTGAGGGGGGGGTCTGACTTTTTGTGACGCCGTGCGACGATGGGGGGGGTGGGGGATCAAAAATCGTCCAAAATCGCGTGACGTCATTTATGGACGGCCCCTGTGGTCTCCAGTGGCGAGCGGTGGCGCAGCGCCTAAATACTACGCTACGAACCCGGCGACCCGATTCCCGCTCACGGCCAACACTAGTGACTTATCTGAACCGGTCCTGAGCCTCCCCTAGGTAGAATCAGCCTCAAATGAGTCCCCGGTGTGGTATTGTTTAACATCGCCACTTGGAAGACAGGCGGCCGGACTTGGTGCTGGCCACCCACTCACTCGTGTACCGCGCTGGCCTTCATTAGATGCTTGCTAACAGTACTTTCCCCAACAGTATTTATTTTGCTATACGGGAGATCTTTACCCTAACCTTGCACCTGGTGTGTTAAGTATCTTGAGGACATAGCCGTATAACATCTGATGAAAATCTAATTTACATTTAAAAAACCCCCATGGCTTGACTCAGCCATTTGTATTTAAGACGATGTATCTCTTAAATGCGTTGCAAATGTTAGTCGGTTCATAACCACGGAAGTGTAGTCCTAACTTTGTCACAGTTCGACCAACACTGTTGCACTCAACCAACCGATGTAGGTAGCCAGGGGATGGCAGCACAGGCATTAATTTTTTTTTATCGTTCTGCTTTCCTCGTTCAGTGGGCCGGTCGTTGTATCGACGTGCTGTCTTTTACACCTCTCGAATAGATCTGTGCAAATGTTTTTTCCATTATTCCCTTGTGTAAGTGATCATTTTCTCCTGGTTCTCCGATTTTCTCCCACGTGAAGCCAATACATGAATGACATTGGCCTATCGTCGCAATCCAGATCCATGCTTTGTAGATTGTGAGCGTTATCCATACTTCCCCGCGCTGGACGTCACAGATTGTAGAATGCGGGAAGCTTAGATGTGGAAGCATAGACTGCAATACGGTAATGGATGTTACTCCACTGACCTCTGCTGGCAATTTGGCTCCTATGTAGGACTCTCCTGGCTAAATATTATTTAGTCACGCCAAGAGCCTCTTGTCCACAACGAAGGGGGTCATTGCCTACAAAGATCTATCAGTTCACCAGAATTGGTTTAAGTCTGACTGCCGGGTTGCAGAGTTTTGCTCATGTTGCACCAATACTGCTGAAAATATGAACTCCAAAAAGTCCGTGTGGCTGATGAGATGTTGCAAGCATTACTTTCATTATTTTTTTTTACGGAGGGGACATATTTGGGAAATGAGGCGGAGTCCTGCAGACGATGTCAGCAAGGGGAGGGGTCTTCCGGCAGAGGGCGCTGCGTGCCTCTCAACAGTCATCACCCCCTCCCCATCCTCCCACCGCAACCCCCATCTTCATTCCGATCAGAGCACACGGCGCCCTCGTGTCGCGCTTCCACCGAGCAACCTGTGCACCCCCCCCCCCCGCTTCTTCCCTCTCCGGGCTCCGTACCAGCTCGTGGGTGACGAGGAGTGGGGGATGCTGTGCGCGGGATGTTGCGCGCGGCACGCACACGCGGTGACTGAAACCTAGCAGCGCTGATAATTCCTCCCATCGCCAGAATCATCACAACCCACACCACCGTAATCACAACCACCATCATCGTCGTCACCGCCACCAATCATCTACCATCGTCACTGCCGCACGTCAACAACACCATCAGCACCACCATCATCACACCTGCGCCACCATCTGCTGCTTCTCGCCCTCCGCCGCCCGGCGCACCGCGCTGATGCGGCCCGGGCGCGTGCGCGGGGGTGCAAATCCATCTGTGCGGTGCGTGCAGCAATCGGGGGGGGGGGGGGGGGGGGTGGAATCGACGTCGCCTTCGCCGCTGCGCAGGCGCACAGCGGGACCCGGCGCGGGCCTCCCTCCCTCCCCGCCGGTGCGGTTTATTTTGGGTCGGTGAGGGCAGTCGATCGTCTCGCTCCGCCGCCGCCGCCGACCGTCCCTTTCCCGGAATAAATTGGCAACAAGTGCGCACTTGCTTTTCCTGTGCTCGACGCACTCGTCCACTCTCCCGGTGGCTCGCTTGCTTGTGCGCTCCGACCCAACAAGCGGCACCATCAGCAGCACCAGGAGCGGCGGCGGCGGCGGCGGCGCGTGTTCACGGTCCGGGATCTTAACGCGGGACTCGAATCCATCTCCACGAGGCACGCGTCCTGCAGGAGTGTCCGTGCTGAGCCGTGTGCCCCTCGTCCTCTCGTGGCTCTTCTCGTCGTCTCGCTGCACAATCGGGTCCTAGAGGGGGCCCCCCCTCAATACTCCTGACCGCGCAGGGCCCCCCCCTCCACTCACCCCTACCCCCCCCCCCCACAACCAGAGGAGCGTTGTGCGCCCTGCGGGTCTTAGCGCGTCGCATGCATGAGCGGAGGACGCTTCGATTTTGACGATGGCGGGGCGTTCTGTGGTGGCTGGGAGAGCGGCAAAGCTCACGGCCACGGGGTGTGCACGGGGCCGCAGGGCCAGGGCCGCTACGCCGGCTCGTGGAGCCACGGCTTCGAGGTGGCCGGCGTGTACACGTGGCCCAGCGGCAACACGTACGCGGGCCACTGGGCCGATGGCAAGCGCCACGGCCTCGGCGTGGAAAGCAAGGGCCGCTGGATTTACCGCGGCGAGTGGACGCACGGAGTGAAGGGCCGCTACGGCGTGCGCATGAGCCAGAGCAGCGTGGCCCGCTACGAAGGCATCTGGAGTAACGGCCTACAGGACGGATATGGCATCGAGACGTACACGGATGGAGGTGAGCAACCACCCGCACCCGACCACACATTACCTACTACACACGACACCCATATTTGACCACCCAAAAACGCCAGTGAGACGCGTACACGACGGCCCCCACCGGCACGGCCCAGCTTAGTGGAGGAGAGCTCTGTCCCAGGTTCGAGCAGTTGAGTGATGAGTCTATTGATTGGTGATTAACTCCAGTTACTCTGTCTTGCTCCGAGTTTATGTGGGCTCGACTCTGACGCAAAGCACAGTTCGGTTTTCTCGATTGTTCACTCGCTACTGCGCGTCCAGTCGCTCCCTTGTCACTCACGTACCGCTGCTGCTAGATTTATTGTCTCGTCTCATCTATACTTTGTTCAGCCACCATACCGCAGGATACAATATTTACTTTAACCATTGGTTCATCGCACCAGTCTGTCTTTGAGCTCTCGCCAATCATCTCTTCTTCAAAGTTCAATAACCTTGCGCAAAGCAATAAACGCGTTAGCTCTCCTCTGCTTTTGCAATCATTAGTGCTGTTGTGAGCCGCTGTGTCATTCGCCTTCGGGCCTATGTTCAGTAACTGCAGTTAAAAAAGTCAAGAGCTCGCCCCCCCCCCACTGCCCAGTACGAAGCCAAACCCATCCAGGTCAACGGATTCAGCTGCGTGATCATCAAGAGTCCCGTACTGAATGCACGGTACACCGCTTCAGACGACCATTCACCATGCTGGTCAGGCCGGGTTGGTAAGTGGGAGGAGCGGGGAGTACAGGACCGGTTCAGATATCACTCGGTTCGCCGTCGGACGAGAAACAAACTCACGTTGCGTTCATCACGCGATGGTGCGCTATGCACTGCGCCACCGGTCTTCACACGACCAGATAACAGCTTTTAGTCACGTCGAAAGAGAGCTCGTTAACGTGACTTGAAAGTTTTTTTGGACCGCCGGACTATTCGCGTGACTGCGAAATAGATCCTCGCCACCCTCCCCTTGCACCACGAACAGGAGAACCGTGGCAACGTCTCGTTTTGTGGGGGTTACACATGGTCGTGTGCAGACCACGACTCTCTTGACACTTGGTGGGGAAGTTGCTTGGAACGTCACTCGTTGACTCCTCCGCCCGTGTCGAGGACTCTGTCTGCCACAATTATTCGTCTCATCCTCCTACCCACTCACTCACCCACCTGTTCAACCATTCATCTACTCAACCATTCACCTACTCACTCATCCACTTGTACAACCATTCACCTACTCGCTCACCTACTCACTCGCCCACCTGTTCAACCATTCACCTACTCGTTCACCTACTCACCCACCTGTTCAACCATTCACCTACTCACTCACCTACTCACTCACCCACCTGTTCAACCAGTCGCCTACCCACTTACCGACTCGGCCAACCACCCACCCAACAAAAAAACAAGGACAAAGATCCCCCGTATAGCATTAACATACTGTTGGGGCAAGTGCTGTTAGCGAGCACCTCTGAAGGCCGGCACGGCACACGGAGACGGAGTGGTGGAGTGGCCAGCACCACGCTCTGCCGCTTTTGTTTCCCCAGTGATGACGTTTAAACACTGCACCGGGCACTCATTTGGGGCTAATTGACCTCGGGGAGGCCCGGGACCGGTTTAGATATCTGTCATCGATGTTGGCTGTGAGTGGGAATCAAACTTGGGTTGGCAGGTTCGGAGCGCAGTGAGATTACCACTGCGCTACCACTCCCCACACAACCACTAATTCACCCACTGGATCATCCGTACTGTGCTCATCCCCGACACTGCAAGTTGCAACACTCCTTTTCCGCTTCGATATAATATTTGTATTTATACTGGAGGAATCTGATGAGCTATCAAGCTTTTTTTTCACAGATGTCCACTTTGGAATTCCCATCGTCTCTGTCCCCACACCCTGGCAATATCCTTGCTGAATTCAACAGACACGTCAACTCTTATTGTAACTTCGGCTGAGCTATTTGTGTGTTGCTGACCAATTGACGTTTCGGGTCATTGTACTCTGTGGTCAGCTACTCCGTTTGAAAACAAAAGCGGCACACAGAAAGATAGGGAGCCATGTTCAGGGTGCCCCCCACCACTCGCCATTCATTTCATGCCCCCTCCCACCACTCGTTAAAATCAAACGATGTTTATCTTCCATAATAGAGGGATTTTTTGGGTCAGATCGCGTAAATATAAATGTGTCGTTAAACCCGCCACCACCCGACACAGCCAATCAGTAAGGTTTGTCACGTAAACAAAACGTGCCAATTACTTACTAGTTCAGCACACCGATTGTGTCTTGGAGAGTAAACCCACTACAACATTTACAATTCGAGTACCGTGACGTTTCGCCGGTAATTACAACAACAACCAGTCTCATCAGGCAACGGCCAGAGTTGTGGAGAAATCCTCCTCTTGTTTCGGTCTTAAATAGAGTGTTTAACGACATTTATACACGGTGTATAACAAATATGGACCCGATTTGAAATCGCTATATCTCTGCAACCATCAACCGTCCATGAATGAAACTCTTACCACTTGAAAGGGCGGGGCATAGAGTTTCAATTGATTACCGCTAGATGCCTCTCCCAGCGCACAAACAGCCCCTAGCATCAGTCCTTCGCAAGACAACACTGCCTCAACGTTGGACAGGTCGCACGGGACCCCAAGACTTGGCGCTACACTCTTGGCCCCCAAGATCCCCAGACATTACCACACCCTGCGACTTTAGCTTGTGGGGATACGCCAAAGACCGTGGTGTTTTTGTGCCACCATTAGCGACTAATCTGGATGACCTCAAAAACAGAATCACGGCAGCGGTGACTTAAGTGGAAGAATACACTTTGAGAGGCGTTTGGGACGAATTATACTATCGTCTCGATGTTGTCCGTACAGCAGGTGGAGGGCACATAGAGCATTTATAAAATGGTTAGTAAAACGTCATAACTCATTAAACCGTTTGTAACTTTTTGTGTAATTGTAACATGTTGCCATCGTGAAATATACTGCTTTTAAATTGGATCTGTTTTTAAAACACCCTGTATTTACGTGATCTAACCCAAGAAAAAAACCTTATGGATAATATTGGTCACGAAAGCCCGCTACGTGTTAAATGGGTTATTATCGTTGGCGTCCGTGTCACTGCTGCCCAACGCGAGTTCTAAGCTTTGCTAATGAGACGGGAACTTTAAAGTTACGGACAGGAGCGTCGTTATGGGCCATCCATTTAGTACGTACGCATGGAGGGGGAGGGGGGGTTAACCCAAATGCGTACGCTTGCGTATGGGGGGTCTACTGACAATGTACGTATGCATCGGAAACGGGGTGGGGGGGTGCAGCCTCGATAATAATAATTTGTCTACATTGGCCTAAATAGTCTGGCGGTGGACTATCGTTTTGCTTAAACACATTATTATGAATCCTTGATCGTTTCTGCGTGGGGTGGGGGGTGTAAAAAGTACACGTGTGTACATGGAGGGAGGGAGGGGTCAAGTTTTGACAGATTTTTGCGTACGTACTAAATGGATGGCCCCTTATGACACTCTAGTGACGTCGTTGTGACTATTTACCAACCGTTTGAATGCACAGGAAAAGCGTCAAGGAGTGTGTACATATATCTATCTGGAAGTGGTGGCGCAGCAGTTAACACACTGCTACTACGAACCAAGCAAACCCCGAGTTCAATCCTGGCCACGACTAACAGCGAGTGATCTCTGTGCTGTGTGGTCAAACACCCCCCTCCCCCGTTCCCCCGTATACCGACAAAGGGCCTTCATCTAGTAGTGCGTTGACAAAGAGATGTTATTCATTTTGACGTGCAGGGTCATCACTCGAATGTATCACGATTCCTCTCTGGAGTATTTGCATTAAGAACGCTTCAAACCTGGCTGACTGCAGCCTGCACCCATTTGGTTCACAATCATTAAACAAATGTTTAATGTTAATAACAAAGTAGTTGTACTTACGCGCCCGTCCTTAATTTGTGTTTTCAATGAAAATTCTGGCATGTCTTCCACCCTCAGAAAGGGCATCTCGCACCCCCAGGGGGTGCGTACACCCCATGTTATGAACCACTGACCCAATACATACGGCCAAGGTAGATGTTTGTGACGTCAGGACGCAAGGACCCGTTGTTGTTGTTGACTTTGTCACACAAAAACAAAGATACCCGTATAGCCTTAACAGACTGTTGCGGCAAGTGATGTTCGCGAGCACCTATTAAGGCCGTCATGACACCACGAGGTGATGGGATGGCCAACCCAGGACGCCTTCTGTCTCCCCACAGTGCTGATGTCACCGTCGTCTGTTTTGAGCGAGAGTCGAACTCGGGTTGCCGGGTTCGTAGCGCATTGCGCTCATCACGCAGAGCATTGACAGAGGGGTTGTACCGCATGCTCTTAACGCCACTTCATGTATCACCATCGCCCCCTCTTATGGCTCAAGTTTCCGTTGTAGTTCACATGGCCACGCTTCACGCCACGCCGGTCACTGCAGGTTGGTGAAGGCGACTGTGACCATAGAAGTACAGTCCAACAGTTGTTTTTTTCCATCACTGTGACAATGTTAGCAGCCAATGTACGAGACACCTCCTGTAAGTGGTGGTCGTCCGTGCAAGCGCTTATCGAGACTCAACCCCTTCTTAGCTCCTGAGATCTGACGAGATCGGGTGAATCCCTCGGATGATTTGTTCATAGACCGTTGATGTGGGATTACCCAGCGGTGATTTATGACCGCTGCATAGACGTGAGGCATAGGGATGTACACACGTGTGTGTACGTGTACAAATTAGTACCCGACACAGTGTGTAAACATCACCACTGGAGAGACAAAGGCGGCCGCCGAGCGTGGTTTTGGCCACCCACCCCCTCGTGTGGTGTGCCGGCCTTCATAGCCTACATGGGGGATCTTTGTCTTATAATAATAAACTCGGTTCTGTATAGCACAATTCCCGCAAGGCCTCAAATCCCTTTACATGTAGCTTAAGTGATAGAGAAAGCCTGTAAAAGCAGGTGTAAGACGCAATTTCAAAAG